TTGCATTATCGCCGTTACAGTCGTAAAATTTTGTCATGATTAAATAATAAATAAATTTTCTTTACTAGTTATATAAAAACATCAGCATTGAATTTCCATAATAAATATGCGAATTAAATAGAAATCTTAAATAATTTATAAAAAAAATTCGAATTTACTAGAATTAAACGTGACAATAATAATAACTTATATCAAAACATTCAAAAATAAGAATATACTTTTTCAAAATTAAAAGACTCAACCAGTTCCCCTGCTCGATCGTGACCATTTTCGTGTGCTTTCTGATACCATTTTAATGCCATGTCAAGATCTATTGGAATTCCGAATCCGTATTGATAACATTCAGCTATTTTAAATTGAGAGATATTCAACCCAGATTCGGCAGATCTTAAATACCATTCAAATGCTTTTTTTTCATTTCGATTTGTCCCATTTCCTTGAAAATAACATTCTGCAAGAAAATGTTGAGCGTATAAAGAATCAAAATTTCCTGACTCGGCTGATCTTTTGAAACACGAAAATGCTTTCAGCAAATCTCTATTGGTTCCCTCGCTGTAATAATAACATCTACCAAGATCGAATACTTCAATGTTTTTATCTTTTGATAATCTCAAAAACAATACAAATGCATTTTTTTCATCTCGTTGCGTCCCTATACCATTTCTATAACACCAACCGAGATTATATTGTCCAGCAGCATCTCCACCCACTGCTGATTTCAAATACCATTCGAATGCTTTTTTCTTATCTTTTTGTGTTCCTATACCGTTTCTATAACAATCACCAAGAACACATTTTCCAATTGCATATCCACCCTCTGCTGATTTTAAATACCACTCAAATGCTAGTTTCTCGTCTTTTTGTGTTCCGATTCCATGTTCATAACAAAAACCAAGAACATATTGTATAATCGCGTCTCCACCTTCTGCTGATTTCAAATACCATTCGAATGCTTTTTTCTCGTCTTTTTGTGTTCCAATTCCATTTTCATAACACACGCCGAGATTATATTGTCCAGTAGCATCTCCACCCACTGCTGATTTCAAATACCACTCAAATGCTTTTTTCTCGTCTTTTTGTGTTCCGATTCCATCTTCATAATAAACACCAAGCCTACATTTTCCAGTTGCATATCCACCCTCTGCTGATTTCAAATACCATTCGAATGCTTTTTTGTCATCTTTTTGAGTTCCAAATCCATTTTCATAACAATTACCGAAGTTATATTGTCCAATCACATCTCCACCCTCTGCCGATTTCAAATACCATTCGAATGCTTTTTTCTTATCTTTTTGTGTTCCGATTCCATGTTCATAACAACCACCAAGACCACGTTGTCCAATTGCATATCCACCCTCTGCTGATTTCAAATACCACTCAAATCCTTTTTTTTCGTCTTTTTGTGTTCCTATACCTTCATGATAATAATAACCAAGCTTAGATTGTCCTTTAGCTTCTTCACCCTCTGCTGATTTCAGATACCATTCGAATGATCTTTTCTCGTCTTTTTGTGTTCCGATTCCATTTTCATAACAATTACCGAGGTTATATTGCCCAGTAGCATCTCCAGCCTCTGCTGATTTCAAATACCATTCGAATGCTTTTTTCTCATCTTTTTGTGTTCCGATTCCATTTTGATAATACCAGCCGAGATTATATTGTCCAATAGGATCTCCACCCTCTGATGAACTCAGAAACCATTCGAATGCTTTTTTGTCGTCTTTTTGTGTTCCGATTCCATGTTCATAACAAACACCAAGACTACATTGTCCGATTGCATATCCACCCTCTGATGATCTCAGAAACCATTCGAATGCTTTTTTATCGTCTTTTTGTGTTCCGATTCCATTTTCATAACAATTACCGAGATTATATTGTCCAGTAACGTCTCCACCCTCTGCTGATTTCAAATACCACTCAAATGCTTTTTTTTCGTCTTTTTGTGTTCCTACACCGTTTCTATAGCAATTACCAAGAACACATTTTCCAATTGCATATCCACCCTCCGCTGATTTCAAATACCACTCAAATGCTATTTTTTCATCTTTTTGTGTTCCCATACCTTTTTCATAACAAAAACCAAGAACATATTGTCCAATCACGTATCCACCCTCTGCCGATTTCAAATACCATTCGAATGCTTTCGTCTCGTCTTTTTGTATCCCGGTTCCGTTTTCATAACAAACACCGAGTTGATATTGTCCATTAGCATTTTCACCCTCCGCCGATTTCAAATACCATTCGAATGCTTTCGTCTCGTCTTTTTGTGTTCCGATTCCATCTTCATAACAAATACCGAGTTGACATTGTCCATTAACATCATCACTTTCTGCTGATTTCAAATACCATTCGAATGCTTTTTTCTCGTCTTTTTGTGTTCCGATTCCATTTTCATAACAAACACCAAGACTACATTGTCCAATTGAATATCCACCCTCTGATGATCTCAGAAACCATTCGAATGCTTTTTTGTCGTCTTTTTGTGTTCCAATTCCATTTTCATAACACACACCGAGATTATATTGTCCAATAGGATCTCTACCCTCTGCTGATTTCAAATACCATTCGAATGCTTTATTCTCGTCTTTTTGTGTTCCGAATCCATTTTCATAACAAAAACCAAGAACATATTGTCCAATAGGATCTCCACCCTCTGCTGATTTCAAATACCATTCGAATGCTTTTTTCTCATCTTTTTGTGTTCCGATTCCATTTTCATAGCAAACACCGAGTTGATACAGTCCATTAACATTTTCACCCACTGCTGATTCCAAATACCACCCAAATGCTTTTTTCTCGTCTTTTTGTGTTCCGATTCCATTTTCATAACACACACCGAGATTATATTGTCCAATAGGATCTCCACCTTCTGCTGATTTCAAATACCATTCAAATGCTTTATTCTCGTCTTTTTGCGTTCCAATTCCATTTTCATAACAATTACCAAGATTATATAATCCTCTTGTGTCTCCACCCTCTGTTGATTGTAAATACCACTTAAATGCTTTTTTCTCGTCTTTTTGTGTTCCGATTCCATTTTCATAACAAAAACCGAGAACATATTGTCCAATCACGTATCCACCCTCTGCTGATTTCAAATACCATTCGAATGCTTGTTTCTCGTCCTTTCGTGTTCCGATTCCATTTTCATAACAAACACCGAGTTGATACTGACCATTAACATTTTCACCCACTGCTGATTTCAAATACCATTCGAATGTTTTCTTCTCGTCTTTTTGTATTCCGATCCCATCTTCATAACAAATACCGAGTTGATATTGCCCATTAACATCACCACTTTCTGCTGATTTCAAATACCATTCGAATGCTTTTTTCTCGTCTTTTTGTGTTCCGATTCCATTTTCATAACACACACCGAGATTATATTGTCCAATAGGATCTCCACCCTCTGCTGATTTCAAATACCATTCGAATGCTTTTATCTCATCTTTTGGTGTTCCAATCCCATATTGATAGCGATAGGCATATCCTAAAAAGAATTGAGCTAAAGAGATTTTATCAATTGATAACTTTGTATAAATGCTCAACGCTAATGCGACATTCTTTTCAACTATGAATCCAGTTTGATAAAGAAACCCTATAAGTAGCTTATATTGAGCACTATTTTTCGAATATTTCGGTATTTCAAACGAATACTGACTGTATAAGTCGTAATACGTTTTACCTAACTTTTCCCTTTTACTGAGTAAATAATTTAATAGAGTTACTAATTCGCCGATAATTTTATATTCATCATCATTTGAAATTTCCGTGTTTTCATCTTCAATGGCCAACTTATCAAAATCTAGTTCTGGCAAACCTTGGAACAGCATACTGTTTGATCCTGGTGACCACTCGAGTTCACTAAGTTGTTGATTTACCTCCAAACATGCTTGATATTGATATAACTCTATATATTTATCAGGTTTCTCTTTCTCCTCTAACGTTAAGACGTCTGCATATTGATTTGGAATACGATCGTTAGAGACAATATGAGAACAAACACCGAAGCTATAAATATCTGATTTTTTGTTGCATAGAAAATTTTTCGTATCTCTCGAGAATGCGGGATCAATGTAACTTAATACTTCGCAACTAGTTTTTGAATTTGAATTTTTGTTCGAAAGTTTCGAATATCCTAAAGCCATGATTTTAATTTTTCCCTGGATATTATTATCGTTGTGAAAAAATTTTAATTAGTACAGGTTTTATTTAACATAGTTTATTTATTACGCTCTATGTCTTACCAAATCACGATGAATTATATCCGCATCATGTATACTTTTCAATCCTTGCGCAAGTTGCTTGGCTGAGTTTAATATTAACTTATCGTTATCATTAAAGTTAGAAAATTTTGTATATAAATGATTTTCAAGAGTTTCGCCATCACGATCGGTATACTTTATAGCAATCATATATTTTTGCATATCGGTATGGTATTCTAATTTAAAAAGTCGTTTGAGAAAATTTCTGTTATATATACAATTATAAAGTTATATATTTACCTTTAGTAATTCCATAAAAGCGAATTATGTTTTTGTTAAGATTAAATTTAATAAGAATTTTCAACTAATAAATATTTGGTACAAAACGTGAATTTTGCAAGTCTTTAGTCATTGGTTTATTCTTCTACATGTGATAAATACCTCTTTGATAAATTTCTTATTGGTTTCTTCGGAGTGCTTCTCGTCACTTGGATAAAGACTCTTTAAAGCTATAGTCAAAGCTTCGTTTTTGACTTTTGCTCTATAAACTTTACCAAACGTTCCATGTCCCATGAGTTTTTTATCGGAAAATTCACTAAATTTTATTTGATTTTCTTTTATCGCGGTTTCATTTCCGTTAAATGAGACTAATGACATTTTAACATTCATATTTGATATTGTGGTCGATGTCGTTGAGTTAGTTATGTTAGCTAAACTATAGCTAATGTTTCGCTTTAATACAGATACAGTACAAACTGCACTGCGCTGCGTATAACCTTAAAACGTACAGTACAGATGCCTAAAGAAGTGAAAAAATCGATTCGTATCGGTATGATAAAAAAATCAATGCGTACAACGCATTTGTACTTCGACTATTAGACTTATAAGTATTGTACAACACAAAAATATACTACGTACGCATAAAAATATACCGATACGTATTAGATAATAACGATAAAATACTCATTGAATAATTGTTTAACGTCCTTTTTTTGAAAAATCCAGGCAAAAACAAATATGAAAATAAACACTGCAATTTTATTGGCTATAGATTAATTGATAAGATTGATAGGTTTAAATTATAACAAATGACGAGTTATACTGTAATTTATATTTTATGTAATACAAATCAACTACTGCTACTCCATTTCATCCACATGCCTCTTTCTCTTATTAGAATTAGACGTAATTGGTCCTCGTTTTTCTATCATTCTTGCAATAACAAATAAAGGGTATATGTTTTTCCAAGCAGCAGACATTTCTTCTGAAATTTCTTCAAGTTCTGATTCGCCACAATAATAACAAACATCATATCGTTTACAAAGAACTGTTACAAATGGAAATATCATTGTAGTTTTGGAAACTCAATTCAAAGTTTATCTTAACTAGCAAGACATAAATGGCATTTTGTTTGCCTCTTTTTTTAAGAAATCCCTAAATCACGAGAAAATCCCATAAAAATCACCATCCTGACCTAGAATGTTAAATTTCAATTGGATAAGAATTTGCACGTGATATTTAATCCTGTTTGTTTAATGTTCGGAGGAGGTTACTTAAGTTGGTCGGGAAGGGTGTTAAACAACAAACAATTTCAAACAGCCTTATATATTCTCGAGTTATCCCTTAAATATTCACGTGCTTTAACCAAATTAGATAACTCAATTTCACATTCACGAAGAGCTAGTCTACGTTCGTCAAAGAAATTAGATAAGATTATTTAATGCAATTCAAGTTGAAAACAAATTCTACATTGCAAATAGTGGCATTATCGCGATTTAGTTTCACGTCATACATTGGCAATTAAACGAAATGGTAAGTTTTCTTAATATCTCTATTTTTATTAACAAATGCAATTTCTAAATCAACTGGAAAACGTCCAAACATCGGAAAAGATAGCAAAAAAAAACCGCGTAAATTGGAAAAAATTTATCGAGAAACACAAGCAAGCAAAGAAAATATTCAAGAAAACATTCGGTCCGATATTGATACAAAAGAACGCGAATTGGTTCTTTAGAACATATTTATTATTAACCTTATAGCAATTTTGAGTATTAAATAATAAATTACTGTAATAACTTCAACATTTGTGTTATCTAGTACAACTTAACACACGTCTTTAAACAATTAATAATAAAATTATCATTTGTATATTACAATTATATCATATAAAAACAATATTTCATTATATTTAATGGATTAATCTGACTATAATAGTTCGTCAAACCAACTCGAACTGCTTGACATTAGAGAGATATGGATTTGTCAGAAAATTTGTTTTTTATAAAAAAATATATAGTGGCAATCAAAAGAAATACAACAGTCAAATTTTAATGATAAAATGCGGTTTTTTCACTTATATAAAATTTTTTGAATTTACTAATTTAATGTTTTTTTATTTATACAAAAATAATTCGTGGTTTAATATATTTTTTTTCAGAATTTTCAGATTTAATCTGAGAAAGTTTTATAATTGCAAAGAAAGTTTAGATGTTTTAATTATAAAAATCATTGCAACTAGAAAAACTTTCTCAAATGAAATCTAAAAATCTAAAAAAAATATTTGTTAAATATAAATTAATATTATATGTTTATAAAATACAATAAATATTATATATATTTTATAAAGCAAAATTTATATTAAAATTATAATTATTTTTGTAATTATAATTTATAATATTTAATACAAATTTATAAAATAATTTTATATTAAGTTAACTTATAATATTAAACAAATATATTTTTCAGATTTATTAGTATATAAAAATAAAAATTTTATAAAACTTGAATATTCTTTCATGTAGTTATATTAAAAAAATCCAATTTTAATTTTTTATACATATTACATTAAGAAAATTTTATATAAAAGTTTTTAATTTTATTATTATTTTTGAATTTTTAAATTTTTTCTGACAAAGTTCTAATTGCAAATTTATTACAAAAATATTTATAATTAATTTTACATATTAATTATAAAAATTTTTTGTAATAATATTACAATTAGAATAAATTTTCAGAAAAAAATCCATATTAAATCATAATTTATAATTTTTACTTTAACATAAAAATAAAAAATATATATTAAAAAATTGAAAACTTTTATTTAAAACAAAAATTTCAATTTTACTATATTTTAATAATCAAATTATATATATAATTCTATAATTCTGTTAATTATTATATATTAAATATATAATATTATTTTTATTTAATATAAAAATAAAAAATTTTATTATATTTTTTGTATTGTATTATTTTTAATTATTATTATATTTTTATACTAAAAAATTATATTAATAAATAATTTAAATATCAAAATTTTTTAATAAAAATTTTAAATTATTTAATTAAAAATCAAATATTTTTATATTTTAGAATTTAATTAAAATAATCTATTATAAAAACTATCTCAAAAAATTAGTTTGAATAGAATTAAAAATTAATTTTATATAATATATAATCTAATTTAAATTATATAACTAAAATTAAATAACCAATAAAAATATTAGTGCTAAATTCTTTAAATTAAAATACTAGTGCTAAATTTTTTGAATTAAAAATATTAATTAAAAACAAAAATAAACTAATCAATAAAAACTATATTTAATATTATTATAAAATACTTATATAAATATAATTTGTATTCAATTTCTAATTATATTTATATAATAAATCAATAAAAATATACAAATTTTTAATTAATTCTGTAAAATTAATCCAATATAAAAAATATAAAATATGAAAAATATACTTTTTCTAATTTTGTCAAATATTTTTCTTATATGAATTAGATATTTTTTAAAAAATATTGGAAAATATATTGGTATTATCCAAGTATATTATTATATACTGTTTGAAAATTTTATTTATTAGTCTTTGAAATATTACTGATCTATTAATAAGTTCAAAGAATATTACATTGAATTTATATAATTTATTATATGTAATAAAAATAGTTTTTTTCTATTTTCAGATTTTACTTTTACATATCAATATTATTATCAGTTTAATAGGACTTTGAATATATTATATCTTTTTATATGTTCAATATATATTTCAAGTCAAATAAAAAAAATAAAATAAATAGCTAAAAATAATGATATATATTTATTAAATTACTAGTCAGCTAAAAAATGACTTAAGAAATCTTCTTATAATTTAATATGTATTTAATAAAATAATTATGATAATGATTTATAGATAAGTAAAATATTATAAATTCAATTTATTAAATTATTTCAACAATATGACATCACAACGTGTAAGAAATCAAATTATAAATATAATATTACAAATATGTAAGAAATCATCAGTAAAGATGGCGTGGCAACTGTTACAACGTGATAACAAATAAAGCATCACCTAGTTGCAACTAGTTGCAGCTTATAAAATTTTGGAGTTGCAATGTGTTGCAACGGGTGAC